CGGACGGAAATTAATTTTTTTTTCGCCCCCCCCCCCCCCCAAGGGTCTACAGGGGTTCAAGGAGAAGATATCCGTTGCTTGTGCCGAGAGAGAAGAACAGAATCTAAGGAATGAAACCAAGGATAAGGAGGGTCTAGAAGTGTACGGAATGTTGAAAGAAGGAATAGGGTTCAAGGATTACCTACATGGACCAATGGATGCAGGGACAAAGCTTAAGGTCAAATTCAGGACCGGGGACATAGGCCTTCGAGAACGTCGACGAAGACATAGGACGGTAGGCGACGAAGACGACAAGTTCAAATGTGATCGCGGCTTCGAATGCGAAGACCGTGTTCATGTAGTCGCAGAATGTCCGTGGTACGAAGAGGAGAGGGAAATGTACATGACTGGGCTGGGAAAAATACAAGGGACGTACAGGGAGATGTTTGAGGCATGGAATAGAGAGGAGAGGACGGTAGCGGTACTGGGGAGTAGAAAGTGGTTTGAAAAGGCGGGAAGGGATATCGTTAGGATAGACAGACTAGGGAAGACATTTTTGAGCCACCTTTGGCCAAGTAGGAAGGAACGATTGGCCATCGGTGATCGGTCCTGTGGGAACAATGCTCCGTCCTCTCGAGGACGCGTGGTCAATGGTCTAACCGCTAAGGCATGCAAAACATAAGAGTACGCCCCCCCCCCCCCCCCAACAAAAAAACGCAAACAGGTGTTGAGTGGTCTCGACACCTATAGCACGGCCCTGATGGGCTCCCTATCGAACGAGTACCTCGACCTGCCGCTCATGAGCGTCGCGGGTACCGCTGCGAGGGCGGAGTCTCGAAACGAGACGGAGGGCGGCTACCTGCTCCACACCCAGCCCGGTGTTGTGCCGCAGATGCAGGTCCTCGTGAGGCTGATACTGGACATGAAGCTGGCTCGGGACGCCGTGGACGGGAGGCGAGAAGAGGGGGGGGGGAGAGAGAGAGAGCGAGAGAGAGAGAGAGGAAAACGCTGTGTTTTGTAAATCTGACCTATGTTGAAAGCGGTTTTGATCAGATATGTACAAGAACATGTATACCTCAGAGAGCTCTGTGACACGCATGCATTCGGCAGCGGGTAAGTAGTGTTGTGTGTGTTTGTTGCTCGAGATTGATGAGGTGTTTTGAGTTGGCTCATGTGGTCATTCTTCCTAACAAAGCAGGGATGAAGTAACAAACAGGGATGCAGTTGTAAATCACAGGCGTTTTGAAAACAGGCAACGCCTCTTCGCCCTGAACCGGCAAGAGAAGGGAACAGCAGCAGCACCACGAGTCCTTGTTTCCTGACCCGGTGTGGACAACACCTGTCGTTGTACCACTTCTTTGGTGCAAAAGACGTCGAACGAGGTTAAGGCTGTACTCTCTTCTTCTGGTACTCATTTTGCTGTGTTGGTGGTTCTCTCTCTCTCTCTCTCTCTCTCTCTCTCTCTCTCTCTCTCTCTGTAACGACAGCGAACAGCCCCCCTTTTACCGCCGTGCACTAAACATGATGAAAACGGACAGGTCGGAGACGACGGAGCGAGTGTGGCTGGTGCACACGAGCGACACCTTCGGCACGATCGCGACGGCGGCCTTCAACGCCGCCGCTACCACCATCTCCGTGGCCCTACCCGACACCTCCGACGACGACGAGGACGACGACGACGACGGGAGCGGGGGGGAAGAGCGGGCGACGGTCGAGGTTGCCGGAACGTAAGTAAGGCACACACCCTGTAGGTTCCACCGCAAGTATCGATTGGTGGCGCTCGCCTCGTAGCACAGGATGAATGGAAAGACATCTTGGTTGTATGTAGGTGTGCTCAAGGACCACCACCCTGTAGGTTCCCCCGTATCGGTCGACGGCATTGTTAACCTGTAGCGGACTCGCTCGGTGTATGGCTGGAAGTCATTCCGTGGTTACATGTAGACGTGCTCTTGGCGCTTGATTGGAGAATGTGTTTTTTTTTGTTTTCGAGCCTCCTTCCGCCTTGCGGGAGGTACGAGTCAGAACGGGAGCGCGGCTGGCGCTTTGGCTTGTGCGCGAGAGTTTCCAAGTTGTGCAACGAAATCCAACTTGCTTGTGACATTCCGTGCGCCCCGTCCCCCCCCCCCCCCCAGCCGCGGCACACATCATAACCCAAGCTATGCCACCCCCCTGCTTCTCCTTCTCCCCTCGCCGCTACGTTGTTCTCCTCTGTTCCTGCTGCAGTGTGGTGATAGCCGCAAGCAGCGAAACAATGTTCGATTCGGAACTGGCGACGCTGGTTGACAACGAGGCCTCTATCATAGTGCTGCTGGCGGAGGGGTTTGACGGCGCCATCATCAGGACGGTCCTGTCCCAGGTGCGTGGGGGCGTGGGAGGCGGTGCCAAAAGGTCTGAAGCGGTGGGAGGGAAAAAGAACAATGCAAACGGGGAGGCGGGGCAAAAAATGGAAGTATCGCATGTGGGGGGGGGGGGGGGGGGGGGGGGCCGGAATG